TTTTCAACTTTCGTTGTCGGTGGAAGTTATCTGTCAGCCGTTGCAGCACCAAAAAGTGGGTGCACTTGACGGCAGCTATGTCGCGCTACTGCCACGAATAGCAGCAGTCAACGCTGACAGTCTGTCAAATGTAGATCAAACAGCCAATTAAAGACTGATTAGATCAAACTAGTTGCATTATATTCTATTTAATGACCGTCTGTGTTGCCGCTAATTCAGTACAACAATCAACGTACGAGCAAGCTATTGAATAAGGCTAGACTAATTTTTATCGATGGCGAAAAACCTAAACACAGCCGACACGAAGTATTAAACTGTTGATTAACTGATTAGCTGATTAACACCGACCTTAAGAACTTGAGCGAAGAACCTGCCACCAATGTAGTTGTCAGTTTTCAGGAAGATGTCGCGTAGCAAGCTTTGACCAAGCGGGTTGTACTTGCTGTTGAACTTGTCGAAACGATGGAACGTATCGCAGTCCTTAAGAACAGGGGTCAAACACTTCAAGAAGACCGAACAGTGGAGATTGCTACCGCGTGCACGTCTAACAGATCAACGCTCAAATCATATGCTGTGATTCCAAGTTCGTCGAACACCTAAACAACACCCAACTGTAACGGTTTGGAAGAAAACTGAAAAGAAAATCAAACCTCCGCAACGCACCTGAGTCAGTGTAACGTCATTACCGTCCTCCTTGCACACCACCGTTTTACCCTCTGTTCTCACTTTCTTCTTGATGAAACGCAACAAATGTTTCTGATTCATCGAACTAGCAGCGTGAACGTGAGTATCCACCTAAAATACCGTACGGAATGTCAAGACATTTTGATGATGATTCGAAATCGAACATATTCTAAGATCTCGCTTAGTATAACCATCTTAAAGTTTCTGTTGCGTGTTAAACGATGCATCAATTTCGCTAACTGCCAGACAAGACAACATCTAACTTACAAAACCCAGGTGCAAAATCGCCCAGATATATAATTTCACATGCCAGAAAATATGGCGGTAGAACTGTTTCATATGGCCAGTTTGGTGACCGATTATAGGTTAACAAACCGACCACCATATTTTAAATTATTTTTTAATGTTTTGATACAATATTACGACTGTTACATTTCAGCAGCCAGAAAAACTATTTTAATACAAACCAGAGATCCTGGATGTTTTTGAAGATGAGAGGACCAACACAAATTTTACTGCCAATTATACGCCAGGAAGGCAGTGAATACTTTTTATCTGTAGTTGCTGCACAAAGTCTTAGACGAAGAGACGAGAAATTAAGCTTCTCAGCATCACCACCCCTTTCTTCCAGATCTTTTGGCAGTTTCAATCGTTGATATGAGAAAGAAAATGACAATCTTCATGCGATCTTTCCTACTACTATGAGTGAAACTACAACAAATGTCACAAAGGCGGCAACCGAACGTTTCAGAAGACTTTCCGGCATGCAGAGCAATGGCTTTTATCCGCCATGTGAAATATATGAAATCACTGACTCTACTATATGAATTATCAGTCACCGAGTCTGGGCATGAAAGCCAATAATTATTTATTGCAGCCATATGGCTCTACGCCAATTCTTGCGTGTGATGCACGTGTGTGTGCTACAATCGGACCCCAATCTCTATACGATCCACGCAGCTGAGTTGTTACCAATTTCCGATGCAAAGAAAACCGCTATTTTCGTCTCGTCGTGAACATTAAAATTACGAAACAACAAAGGCGGTCAACAAAATAAATCAATCTCCGTTCAGAAGCTTTCTCCGTCGCAGCGTTCCACTGGTCGGTCGAGAAACACATGGACCCCACGAAGTCACGTGTGATGCCAGTTTCCAAAGCGGTGGTCCAAAGCTGTTCAAACAGTGTCAGTGATGAATGATACTCATCTATGGATGGTGTAAAACACGCCACGCATTGCGATGAGGAAATCTCGTTGATCTTCAAATTGCTGAGAACACTCAATCACCAGACCGAAAGATAGGCAGTCAGAGAAGTGCACATTATGTATGCATCGCTTTAACCGCAAAGATCGGTCATGACCCCGATGGATAACCGGCTAACGATGTACGGTAATCAAGTGTGATGAGACATTAAAGCAAACGGGTTTCTTTAAACCATTAAGGCAAACATACCTAGGAGCAAGACATGCCGGTTATAAACCAGAGATATAGGGCCGCAATGAAACTTGGGCTAAACGTGAAACCAGGGTGATTTCGTCTCGCCGCTGACCAAGCGATGACTTGTGTTGCTAAGAAGTAAAACATGAAGGATATGAATGAAAGACGATACCACGAAAGGATGAGAAATATATATCCATCACACTGCATAAATATTCACTCAACATCTGGGAAATCTGGCGTTATCCTGAACCACTAATGATATCTGAGATTCCGCGGTAAAGTGAAAGTGGGTACAATGGGTACTTAAAATGAATGAATCGTGCGCAAAAGCACAGCCTATAATTATAACATCTGTCGCTGTAATTTTTAATTAACATCGATTCAGCACCGTCTAGTCGCTCAATGCGGTGTAGTGCCACAAGTAAGCCATCATCAATTAAAAAAACAGAGCGTGATAAAAATTCCATAATGTTTTCTTTGTGGATCAGAATCAATTCGCCTATTCTACGCCTAGGGGATATCCTCATCCACGTCGAAGTGTACTTCTGTTCGCCTCACTACTACGTTGACGAAAATCATACTTCGACGTGACGAAAGTAGTTCGTCCTACCATCCAGTTAACTGTCGGGCAATCCTTTTTCGACGTAGTCACGTATCAGTTATTATTCGTTACCTGATCGACGCAGGTTACCAGCGGATTTTCAGGACTACTTTATCAGTTATGAGAATTTATTTTACCATACTTCATTCTGACATTGCATTAGACCTTCTGCAATATCACCTCGTTCCTGACGTGGACGCCGAGGCTGACCTTCAAAAGTTTACCATAGGCCTATCCCTCAAATTATCTATATACCAATTTTCGTCGTCGTCGTCGACCGAGCGCATGCTTCATCAACAGCGACTGCGGAAAAATACAGTGGTACGAAACACAAAAATGCGAGGATGTCTCACTTCCAGCAACCTCCCAGCTGCTTTCTTATTCATAGTGATTATTGCCTGGCGCTGTTTACATTAACAGAAAGTCTCTAGTTCTGATGCTCACTGCATTCACATGCTTAGACCACTTTCGCTACAAAGCTCCGGTAATTTCATCGTACAAGAACCAATTCCTCCCCTCCACTGTTATGATTAAATGCATACTAGCTAAGGCTTCAACAGAAACAACTGCAAATGTTTTATTTCGTATGTTGTGATCACCACGTTTCAAGACTTCTGCATAAGCAGAATGTTTCTGATTGG